CGGAGGGAGGAGGGTAACTTCTTCAGGTTAGGCATCCTTAGAAGAGGCTTCGCAGTGGGGTTAAAATCGAATCAGAGATAGTAGGAACTGCAGACGCTGGAGAATCCGAGACAACAAGGTGCAGGGCTGGATGAACACAGCAGGCCAAGCAGCATCATAGGAGCAGAGAGGCTGACGTTTCGGGCCTAGACCCTTCATCAGAAAAGTGTAAGATGCCTGGGTCTTCAGCTTGAAAGCAAAAAAAAGGGAGTTGAATTCCTAACTAGTAGAGTGACTTGTAATCACTAGTTATTAATGTAATGGTTAATTGGTTAGCACTTGTAAGATTAGTGAAGATAAACCTTCTAAATGATTAAGTGGAGTGTGGCTTGTCTTATTTTTCAGCTTCCAATGCCAAAAGAGAATTTGAATTCCTACCTAGAATCCCTGCACTGTAGAAGCAGGCCATTCGGCCCGTCAAGTCCACACTGACCCTCTGAAGAGCGTCCCATCTTGACCCCGTGTTTCTCCACCCTGACCCACCCCATGCCCTGTCCCTGCGTTTCTCCACCCAGGACACTATGGGCAATTTAGCACGGCCAATCCACCTCACCCGCGTATCTTTTGGACTGTGGGAGGAAAGCGGAGCGCCCGGAGGAAATCCATGCAGACATGGGGAGAGAACGTGCAAACTCCGCGCAGACACCGTCACCCTGCGGGTGGAATCAAGCCCAGGGTCCCTGGTGCCGTGAAATAGCTATGCTAACCACTGAGCCACCGTGCTGTCCTAGTTATTAATGAAATGGTTAATTGGTCAGCAGTTGTAAGATTGCTGAAGATAAATTCTTTTTAATTAAATGGGGTGTTATGTGTCCTGGTTTTCTGTTTCAATACCAAAAGGGAATTTGAATTCCTAACTAACTGGTAATCACTGGTTATTAATGCAGTGGTTAATTGGTTAACACTTGTAGGATTGCTGAAGATAATCGTTTTTAATTTAAAAAGAGTGCCACATCTCTTGGTTTTCAGCTTCAAAACCAATGTCGGATTCCTAACTAGCAGTGGTAACAAGTGTTTACTAGCCCTGCTGCATTGGTTAGCTGGTTAACACGTCTAGGTTTCCTACACTAAAATCTTTTATAATTTTAATTAAAATTTAAAGAGAGTGTAATGTATCCTAGTCTTCAGCTCCAAAGCAAAAAGGGAAGTCTGATTCCTAACTAGTAGGATGACTGGTAATCACTAGTTATTAGTACAGTAGTTAATCCTACAGTAGGATTACTGAGAGCTTTAAGTTTAGTTCAAATAAATGGAATGCAACACATCTAGGTTTCTGCTTCACAGCAGGAGGGAAATTGGATCCTTAACTAGCAGAATGACATTGTTAGTTATTGCAGTAGTTAATTGGTTAGCGTTTGGATTACTAAACAGAAGCTTTTATTTCATTCAACAAACTAACAATGCAGCAAGTGTGGGTTTTCAGTGTTGAAGCAAGTTGGATTCTCACTCATTCTGCTAGTTCAGGCTTATTAATACGATGGTTACTTAACTAACATTTGTGGGATTACTGAAAGGAAACCTTTTAATTCAGCAAATTAATGTAATTCAACATGTCTTGTTTTTTTTTTGCTTTGAAACAACATATTGGGTTCTCAATCATTCAGCTAGTTAACTCTAAACTTTAGTTAGCAGTGGTTAATTGATTAACACCTAAAGCTTACTTAAGAGAAACATAGAAACATAAAAATAAGCGCAGGAGTAGGCCATTCGGCCCTTTGAGCTTGCACCACCATTCAATACGTTCATGGCTGATCATGCAGCTTCAGTATTCCGTTCCAGCTTTCTCTCCATACCCCTTGATCCTTTAGCCGCAAGGGCCACATCCAGCTGCCTCTTGAATATATCTGATGTACTGGTCCCAACAGCTGCTTGTAGGAGAGAATTCCACAGGTTCACAACTCTGAGTGAAGAAATTCTTCCTCATCTCAGTCCTAAATGGCTGACCCCTTTTATTCTTAGACTGTGATCCCCTAGCGCTGGGCTTCTCCAACATCGGGAAAATTCTTTCGACATCTAGCCTGTCCAGCCCCCGTCAGGATTTTATGCTTCTACGAGATTCCCCCCCACTTCGTTCTTCTAAATTCCAGTGAGTACAAACCCAGTTGATCCAAACATTTTTAGTGTTAATTTGGCAATGACCAGGATGTGATATGTCTGGCTTTTCTGCTTTAAAATAATACGCAAATGGGGCTTAACCAGCAGAAAGATCTGATAATCTCTAGTTATTGATGCGGTAGTTAATTGGCTAACAACGTGGGATTACTGATGAGAAATCTTTACTTGTAATTTTCAAAGATAATGCACTATGCCCTGATGAAGGGTGTGAACCCGAAACGTCGACTTTCCTGCTCCTCTGATGCTGCTGTGTTCCTCCAGCACCACACTGTGTTCACTCTGCCTCCAGCATTTGCAGTTCTTGCTGTCTGCATTATGCAACAACTATCTACCATTTTTTGTTTTTAATCAAGATGTAAACTGGGGTCCGAGCTGCTCTGCAATTGTAAACCCAAAATGGACTAGAACTCCTGGAGAGAAGTCCTTTTTATCTTAAATCAGCCAATGGATGTTAAATTTTGGGGCGTCAGGGGGGAATCTGAGTTGTGGTTTTATTGGCCACTGAATGGACCTCCTTAAAACTGACGGCTGTGTGTGGGATGTGTGTCCTCCAGGTCTTTGTGCTGTTGTTCATCTTTGTCAAGCGCCAGATCATGAGATTTGCCATGAAGTCCAGGCGAGGGCCCCATGCCCCCATTGGCCACAACGCACCCAAGGTTTGTACCAGTGCTGAGCTGGGGGTTTGGCCTCTCCTTTGCAGTGTTAGGAGTGGTACCGCACCAATAGTTTGGGGAGGTGGGGTGGGGTATGGAGTCTCGCGGCTCCCAGCTTCTGTCCAGCATTCCCTGGCCAATCCAGACAGGAACGGAACAGAACAGGCCAGGCCTAGACACGTGGGTCTCAATGCTGGAGGCAGAGGCGGAGGGTTGATTCGCCATCCAGCGCCCCTCAAATAATCTTAGAATTTACTGGGCAGGAAGGTGAAAAGTGCTCCAAAAGGCTTTGTACCATATTGAGGCCCTTTACAGCACAATATGAGACCGTCTCTCCTCCTGTAGGTCCCATTACCCTCCTCAACCTCTGCTGGTTGACTTCCTTCAAGTGCAGGGTATTGGTTGGGGTGGAGGGCAGTTTGGGTCTTGCTGGGGCTGGGTGGATGTTTCAACTGGGGGCATTTAGGGTTGATCCAATTGGAAGGGCTTTGGGGGATTGGACAGATGGCTTGGTGTTTGGGCTTGAGGGGTGTTTGTTGGGGATGTTCGATTTTTGGGAGTTGTGCTGTTGATGAGGTGTAATGTTGGAGTTTGGAGTTTGCGGGGAAAGGGTTTGCAGGTGGGGTACATGATGCGAGAGTGGCATTTTGGGGGAATAGAGTTCACGGGGGATTGACAGGGCTCAGGAATGAGGTGAATTGAGGGTTGGGGGAGCGGTTGGGAAGGGTGGCGTGGATTGAGGGTTGGTGGGTGGGGCTGTTGGGTGGTGTGGATTGAGGAGGGGTTTCTGATTTTATAGTGGGGAAACTGATGAGGGATTGGGGTAGTGAGTTGGGGATAACCGAGAGAAGTTGAGGGCACTGCTCAGAGCTCTGCTGCTGAACTGATCGCTCCTTGCCGGTTGTCCTCCACCAGGATCTGAGAGAGGAGATCGACAGGAGCCTTCTGAAAGTCCAGGATCTCGACTACGAGCCTCAGCTGCTGGATGAGGGAGACATACGCTTACTCCAGCTTCAGGAAACGGGAGCCCAAGGTACAGACTGCAACCTCTTGCATTGATATGGCACCCCTTGCACAGCAAATCAACACCCAGGCCACAATCTGATGCCAGATTCCTTAAGGAAATCAGAGTGACAGGTGATCAAAAGCTGGCCAAGGAGAATAGTTTTAGATGGGGGAAGGGGTGGAGGGAGACCTAACCCTGTCCTGGGAATGTTTGGGGGAACAGTGTAGAGGGAGCTTTACTCTGTATCTACCCCTGTGCTGTCCCTGTCCCTGGGAATGTTTGATTGTGGGGGACAGTGTAGAGGGAGCTTTATTCTGTATCTAACCCTGTGCTGTGGGTAATAATATGAGCTGCTAGTAATTTAGGTGTGGCTATTGTAAATATTGGGCTCTGCACTGAACCCTCAGTACTGAAAGGGAATTTGATCCAAAGCTGAGCGAACCTGTCTTGAGCGATTGCCTTCGGGCATTCACGTTGGTGAGCCTGCAGCGTAGGCGGTGTGACATTTCTCTCGCTGATCTTTTGCAGGACCCTACAACTACATATACCGAATGAAGGCTCTGGATGCTATCAGGCATGTGGGTGAGTGGCCAGCCCCAACCAAACTGAGCTGCAATTTCTTCATCCTCCTTCCCAGCTGGGCCAGTCGCATTTTATCTTGCGCTGTTCACAAGGTTGGGGTGTTCCCATCCGCCTCATGGCCTTGGAAGGCCCAGATGTTTAGGTTTGATATTAATTCACGGGATGTTGGTGGCACTGACCAAGGCCAATAATTGTTACCCCTCTCTGTAACTGCCCTTGGAGAAGGTGGAGGTGAGCCTTCTTGTTAAAACTGTTGCAGTCGGTGAGGTATGGGGGCACCCGCAGGCTGGGGATGTCACCGGAGTGGGGTTCCCTCTTCCGCTGACGCTGCCGTCTACAAGTTGCCCTGCAGCGCATACAAACAGGGTGGTTAAGAAGGCATTTGACACGCTTGCTCAGTCCTTTTGAGTATGGGAGTTGGGACGTCATGGTGTACAGGGCGTTGGTGAGGCCTGTCTTGTCTACCACGTCCAGTTCTGCTCACCCTGTTACAGGAAGTATGTATTAAACTGGAGAGCACATGCACAGCTGCCCACAGGGCTCTCAAAAATTTGTCCTTGCAGCTTGTCAGGTTGTGCTGCTGTCTGATCCTTCTCCTCCAGATACTTTCTCTTGCTTGTAGAAGGTACAGGGTGGCTGGTTTATGCTTGCAAAGTCTCTGTGCCTCTTTGCCAGTTGAGCCAGCTTACTGTAACCGCTGAGGGTAAAAAGGATTCTGTCTGTCTTCAGCCTTGCGATGATTTTTTACCTCAGAAGAAAAACGGCTCCTTCTCCTCCTGATGTCTAAAATGTTCATTCTTTCCCCGCCACTCCCCAAAAAATAGTTCAGCTGCTGGCACCCAGAAGGCCTTGTCATCAATAACTGGTCCCCAGACCGATCAGCTACCTGTTGCAGGCCGAAGCTCCATTCAAAAACCCCCTTCTAGCTCCAGCCTGCCTGCAAACCAGTGCTGCCACGACTGCTTGAGCAAGCAGCTGTGTAAGCAGTGCTTACGATGAGAATTGGGTTCTCTCTTTTTTTAAAGTAGGTTTGCTAGTCCCTTACACTATCCTTGGTTTTTAAAACCGCCGTTTTCCTACTCCTGTGCGCAATCCAAAATTCAGGAGAAGAGAGACGACAGTCTTTTTACTCCACCTGCCCGTCGTTTGTGACCCGGCCTGTCAGCGTTTTAGCGTCACCACCTTGCCAGGAAGGAGTTACGTGGAGAAGCTGGGGTCAGAGTGGGGAGGGTGCACGGGGAGACTGAATTGACAGGCTGAAAATCGCCAGGGCGTAGGTTTTGGTTGAGGGAGAAGCCGATCCCACCGGCAGAAGGGGCCGTGGATAGAACAGGATCAGAGAGAGGGATGAGAATGTGTGGGAACAGATTCAACAGGAAATTTCAAAAGTTGAGGGGGGGGCGGTGGTCTGAGGCGTACTTGATGGAGGAACGTTAGCGGGAGAAAGACCGGGGTGTGGGATTAATCGGAGAGCCACTTCAAAGGGCCAGAATAGACAGCGGGCTGAACTGCCGCCTCCTACAGGCTACGAACTTGCATTGTGTTGTGACTCCCTTCGGGGTGTGTGTGTGTATGTGCTGCCACCACAGATCTCCCCACTGGCGAAGGCACCGATTTTGTCAAATACCTGACTGGGAAGAGTTTCCGGAATTTCCTGCTGGAGCTGAGGGAGGGCAACACTCCGTTCAGGGGAGTCCGTAAGAATCTCATCGACAAGCTAATCGATGGATACGAGTCAGCGCGCCACGGCACAGCGGTAAGTGTCGCTGCTGGTATAGAACGGGCACCAGGGCCAGAATGGCTCTCTGCCCCATGGGGCGAACGTTGCTTGGATGTGCGGGAGACCGTGGGAATGGGGAGGAGCTGCAGCAGGCCATTCTGCCCCTCCAGCCATCAGGCTGATCGGATCATGGTCTCAGCCCCACCCTTCTTGACTGTGTGACCCACACACCCATTCCCTCGTCAATCAGAAATCTCTCTGTAAGTTGAACCTCGAATATAATCCAGTGAGCCGACTTCCCCCCCCCCCCCCCCCACCACCACCACCACCACCACTCGCCACGCTCTGCGGGAGGTAATTCCACAGACTCCCGAGTCCCAGAGAAGAAATTTCCCCAC